GACATACAGACAGACAGACAGACAGACAGGCAGACAGGCAGACAGACAGACAGACAGACAGGTGGGCAGACAGACAAACAGACAGAGGGGACGAGCTATGAGACGGAGACCCCAGCACAGCCCATGTTCCAGCAATACGTGTCCAGCCGTACGCAATTAACAGATGCTCAAATATCATTCGAATACATATGCATAAAGTTATTCCCATGAAAGTGAGAGTTCGCGTCGACAACAATATGCATTCACACAGACAATGACCTTATTCAAAACACTTAGTACTGGCGTCTGTGATGTAGGCCCTTCGCTGTCGCACGCAGGAAATCCGAGTTCGGTTCATGGGGTATTTTTTGTTTTTGTTGGTTTCTTTGGGGGGGAGGGGGGAGGAAAGATTTATACTAGGTATCTAGGTCTCTCTGCTGGGACGTATCCCTCTCAACACCGCTTGGCCCTAGCAGGCAGTGACGGAAGCCCACCTCCTAAATCATTTATATTGTATCGATAAGGGTGCAAAAGGCCTACACTAAATAAGTAAAACCAAAACTTAATACAAAAACAAAATACACTTAGTGCAATGCTGGTCGTGCATTCTATAAAAGCAAACTATCGCAGACACACGACATATACACGAGTCCTGGCATTGAGGTAACGCATACTAGTTAAGACAACAACGACTAAGATACGATTGTAAAGATTCTTTCTTTGACTTAAAAACACGTGCGAAATTATATAAGTTTAAAATTCCTTGCAAAACTGAATAAAGAGAAACTCAGGAAGACAACGGTCATTTCGTGTCGTGAATGGGAATAAAACCCCATGACTGTCAGAATCGGCAGAAGGAAGGAAAAGAAGTAAGACCTACATGTATCGCCCCCAACAATTCACAAAATGATCCAAGGAGGGATATGACACAAAAAGGAAATCTATTAGTACAGTGACACCACACTATAGAAGGAAACAACAGAAGGACCTATCTGTAACACCCTTCAACCACCCGCGAATGCCATCCGTTTATAGACTAACATTATACAGAGAAGCATGCTTACGAGGATAACACAAGATGCTCAAAGCAAAAGGTCTAAAAAAAAATATTCAGTGTCAATTTAACATTGGACTAACATTTTTTAGATACTTCAAATAAAAAGGACGCTATTAAACCAGGTCTGCTTTACGTTATTGCAAGCTATTGTTATCCATCTGTAAACTCATGTGCAAACAATTATGTCAAGTGTCTAGCCTAGGTATAAAGAACAAATCACATACCCCTAAGAGAGAGAGAGAGAGAGAGAGAGAGAGAGAGAGAGAGAGAGAGAGAGAGAGAGAGAGAGAGAGAC